GAAGAAGATATTAGTAGGAAAGAAGGGAGAAAACAAAAGAAGGAAAAGAAGACGAAAAAGAAATTAGTAGAAAAGAAGAGAGAAAGAAAAAGAAAAAAGTAGAAAAAGTAGAATTTTACTAGGAAAGAAGAAGAAGAAGAAGAAGAAGAAGAAGAAGAAGAAATTAGTAGGAAATAAAGTATGAAAGCAAAAGAGGGAAAAGAAAAAGAAGAAGAAAAAATTAGTAGCAAAGAAGGGAGAAACAAAAAGAAAAAGAAGTAGAAAAAGAAGTAGAAGAAGAAGAAATTAGTAGCAAAGAAGAGAGAAAACAGAGGAGAAGAAGTAGGAGAAATTAGTAGGAAAGAAGGGGAAAACAAAAAAAAAGGAAAATAAATTAGTAGGAAAGAAGAGAGAAACAAAAAGAAGAAGAAATTAGGAGGATAGAAGGGAGAGACAAGAAGAAGAAGAAGAAGAAGAAGAAGAAGAAAAAGAAGAAAAAATTAGTAGGAGAAACAAAAAGAAGAAATTAGTAGGATAGAAGGGAGAGATAAAAAGATGAAGAAGAAGAAAAAGAAGAAGAAGAAGAAGAAGAAATTAGTAGGAAAGAAGGGAGAGATAAAAAGATGAAGAAGAAGAAAAAGAAGAAGAAATTAGTAGGAAAGAAGGGAGAGATAAAAAGATGAAGAAGAAGAAGAAAAAGAAGAAGAAATTAGTAGGATAGAAGGGAGAAACAAAAAGAAGAAATTAATAGGATAGAAGGGAGAGATAAAAAGATGAAGAAGAAGAAGAAGAAGAAGAAGAAAAAAAGAAGAAAAAATTAGTAGGAAAGAAGAGAGAAACAAAAAGAAGAAATTAGTTGGTTAGAAGGGAGAGATAAAAAGATGAAGAAGAAGAAAAAGAAGAAGAAGAAGAAGAAGAAATTAGTAGGAAAGAAGGGAGAAACAAAAAGATTAGGGAGAAGAAGAAAAAGACGGGGAAATTAGTAGGAAAGAAAGGAGAAACAAAAAGAAGAAGAAATTAGTAGGATAGAAACGAGAGACAAAAAGATGAAGAAGAAGAAGAAGAAGAAGAAGAAGAAGAAGAAAAGAAGAATAATAATAAGAAGAAATTAGTAGGAAAGAAGGGAGAAACAAAAGAAGAAATTAGTAGGATAGAAAGGAGAGACAAAAAAGATGAAGAAGAAGAAGAAGAAGAAGAAGAAGAAGAAGAAGAAGAAGAAAAAGAAGAAGAAGAAGAAGAAATTAGTAGGAAAGAAGGGAGAAACAAAAGAAGAAGAAATTAGTAGGATAGAAAGGAGAGACAAAAAGATGAAGAAGAAGAAGAAGAAGAAGAAGAAGAAGAAGAAGAAGAAGAAATTAGTAGGAAAGAAGGGAGAAACAAAAGAAGAAGAAATTAGTAGGATAGAAAGGAGAGACAAAAAGATGAAGAAGAAGAAGAAGAAGAAGAAGAAGCAGAAGAAATTAGTAGGATAGAAGGGATAAACAAAAAGATGAAGAAGAAAAAGAAGAAGAAGAAGAAATTAGTAGGATAGAAGGGAGAGACAAAAAGATGAAGAAGAAGAAGAAAAGAAAGAAGAAGAAATTAGTAGGAAAGAAGGAAGAAACAAAAAGAAGAAGAAATTAGTAGGATAGAAGGGAGAGACAAAAAGATAAAAAGAAGAAGAAAAAGAAGAAAAAGAAATTAGTAGGAAAGAAGGGAGAAACAAAAAGAAGAAATTAGTAGGATAGAAAGATAGACAATAAGATGAAAAAATAAGAAGAAAAAGAAGAAGATGAAGAAGAAATTTGTAGGAAAGAAGGAAGAAACAAAAAGAAGAAGAAATTAGTCGGATAGAAGGGAGAGACAAAAAGATGAAGAAGAAGAAGAAGAAAAAGAAGAATAAGAAGAAGAAGAAGAAATTAGTAGGAAAGAAGAGAGAAACAAAAAGAAGAAGAAATTAGTAGGAAAGAAGAGAGAAACAAAAAGATGAATGAGAAAAAGAAGAAGAAATTAGTAGGAAAGGAAGAAGAAATCAAGGAGATGGAAAAGAGGAAGAAGAAGAGGAAGAAGGCTAAATCGAGGAGCGAAATAAGGAAAAATAACTCGAGCGATTGGGTATAATAAACAGAGGTACAGACGCGTTGTAAATGAGACAAAAGTCACTGAAAATACTAAAGGTATTGAAATAAAATACCGAGTCTAAAGGGCAGAAAAAATAAAGAAGACGACGAAAAGAATTTAAATAAAAAACCAAAGAAATTTGTAGGAAAGAAGGAAGAAAAAAAAAAAAAAAAAGAATATTTATAAAGAGAGAACAAAGAGAAACGTTGCAAGGAAAACATGACAATAGATCGGCTTCACGTCGTCAAATAATAATAAAAATAGAATGAAGGTTTCGAGAAGAGTAGTAGTATTAGTATTAGTATTAGTAGTAGTAGTAGTAGTAGTAGTAGTAGTAGTTGTATTAGTAGAAGAAGAAGAAGAAGAGATGTCAGTTGACAAAAATTAAAGAAGTATATAAGGATTTTGGAAAACGTCAATTAATATTGGAAAAGAACACATATACGATATTAAAGAATATGCCGATGGGAAACAAACGTCTTCCCCTCTTCGACACACCATGGATGTGAATTCAAATATATCTACATAAGTATTTGTCCCCAGTTTTTTTTTTCTTTTATAGATACATAACCCCACAACACGTGCGTTCAAACGAATACATTAACTAATAGCCTTAGTCGAAGATGGGTGGAATGTAAAACACAAACATATACGCACGTATGCACATACCAGATGCAGATTAGGGTGGCGAAAGAGCTGGTATACACAAATTGCTGATTTCATCTCTTAAGAGAACATCTTGTTAATGAAATATGGAGAATTTGTTTTTGATGCAGGTGCGCTGTTCGGAGGAGGGTGGTTGTTTCCTTTTTCGGCTTTAAAAAAAAAAAAAGAAAAAAGAAAATTTTTTTTTTAAAGTTCCACGATGTAAGAAGCGGTACAAGATGTCCGTGGCTACATCGATTTTTGTACGCATGTTCGGAATGGAAGAAACGTGTAGAGGCGCATGCGTACACAATGGAATGATGTGTCCAAAATAAATACATAGGTTGTGAACAGACAAATAACGTTTAAGAAGAAGAAGAAAAAGATCAAGACAAAAAGAAGGGAAGACAAAAACGAGATAGAAGGGGAGAACAAAAAGAGAAAGAAGACAAAAAGAAAAAGGAGAATAAAGAGAAAGAAGAAAAAAGTGAGACGAAAAAAGAGAAAGAAGATAAAAAGAAGGGGAAAAGAAAAAGAGAAAGAAGACAAAAATGAAGGGAAGAGGAAAAGAGAAAGAAGACAAAAAAGAAGGGATGATGAAAATGAGAAAGAATACAAAAAGAGGGTAGAAAGAAAAGAGAAAGAAGGCAAAAAAAGAAGAGAAAAGGAGAAAGAAGACAAAAAGAAGGGTAGAAAGAAAGGAGAAAAACAAAATGAAGAGAAAAAGAGAAAGAAGGCAAAAAGAAGGGAAGACGAAAATGAGAAAGACAAAAAGAGAAGAAAAGGCGAAAGAGAAGAAACGGAGAAAGAAGACAAAAAGAAGGGTAGAAAGAAAGGAGAAAGAAGACAAAAAGAGAAGAAAAGAAGAAAGAAGACAAAAAGAAGGGTAGAAAGAAAAGAGAAAGAAGACAAAAAAGGAAGAGAAAAAGAGGAAGAAGACAAAAAAGAAGGGAAGAAGAAAAAGGGGAAAAAGACGAAGAAATAAGGAGAAAAAGAGAAAGGTGGAGATAAAAAGAAAGGAAGAATAAAAAGAGAAAAATGTCGTCTAATAATTGAAGCAGAAAAAGTGAAAGAAAGAAAAAAGACAAAGAAAACGAGAGAAAGAAGATAAGAAAAAGGAAAAAGAACAAGAGAAAAACAATTTTAAAGAATAGAATAAAAAAAATGAAAGAAAAGGACATAAAGACGGGAAAAGGAAAAAGAATAAATCGAAGATATAAAGAAGAGAAGAATAAAAGAGAAAGAAACAGATGTAAAGCGTGGAAGAAGAAAAAAAACAAAAAAGAAGAAAAAAACAAGAAGAAAAAGACAAGAAGAAGAAGAAGAAGAAGAAGAAGAAGAAGATGTGTAAAAATTTGAAGTCGATTTGAAGTATAAGACAAATATAAGGGGGTCACGTGCCGTATCTCTTCAGGACATAGGTGACCATGGCTTTCCACAACTTTCTCATGTATCTCATAGCAGTTTTTTTTTTCACTTTGCTAATGATCCCACACACCAATTCCGCCACCCATTGACTCAAGCTCGTCAGATATGGGGCTCGTTGCCCTCCCCTATCTCTCTTTTTCTCAATATTCCTCGTGAGAATTCCAAATCCCGCTTCCTTTTTATGTATCCTAGACATTTCAGCTGTCTTTTCCTGATTTTGGGTATAAATGTTCTTTCTGTTACAATTTTCTTTAAGACTTCATTTTTGCTAAATTCGCCCCGTCCATTGAATTTTCAGTATCCTTCAGTAGAATCACATTTTTGCTGCTTCTAGTTTTTTCTTATTTTAGGGAAAATGTCCAATATTCATTGCCATATAAAGACGATGAATATTGCATAGTTGTCCACCACTCTTTTCTTTGTTTCTAACGATTTTTTCCCGTTTCCCAGCAACTTGCTTAGATTCTGGAATGCCTCTTTCCCTAGTCAAATGCATGTCCGGTTCACGGTGTTACATTTTCCATCTTCTGTTCAAACGTTTCTCAGATATTTGAACTTCTGCTTGATTGATGTTTATATGTCCATTTTGTAACTCGTATCTTGGGCGCTTGCTGATGACCATACTGTTATAACTTCTGGATTATTCTAACATCTTTTCCAAACAGATCTAGGTTTCCCAGCAGTTTGAATAGATTCTTGTGCAGTGTCTAACCGTCAAATATTGTTTGCGTGAATTTTAATATATAAATGTACATCCTTCTGCTTTTGTAAAAAAAAAAAAGAACACCATGAGAAAAAAATATAGAAGGAATATGCAACGATTAAAAGAAAATGAAAGTGGAAAAAGGTTATGGAAATGAAACAAAAAAAGAAGTGAGAGAAGAAAAAAAGAAGAGACGAATAAAAAAAAGAAAGAAGACAAAAGGAAAGGGAAGGAAAAAGAAAAACGAAGACAAAGAATTAAGAAGAAAAAGAGAAAGAAGCAGGTAAACAGAAAAGAAGAAAAGAGAGAAAAAGAAGACAAATAATTGAAGAAAAAGGGAAAGGATAAGACAAAGAAGAAAATTAGACGAAGATGAGAAGAGAAAGAAGATAAAAGAAAAGGAAAAAGAAGAAGAGAAAGAAAAAGTTATAAAGAAGCGAAAAAAAAAAGAAATAAGGTGATATAAAGAATGGAAAAGAAGAAAAAGTAAAAAGATATAATGAAGGGAAAAATAAAAGAGACAGAAGACGTAAAGAAGGAAAGAAGAAAAGGAGACGAAACAAAAAGAGGAGAAAAAAGAAGACAAAAAGAAGGGAGGAGGAAAAGAGAAATAAGACAAAAAGAAGGGGAGACGAAACAAGAAAGAAGACAAAAAGAAGGAAAGAAGAAAAGGAGACGAAACAAAAAGAGGAGAAAAAAGGAAGACAAAAAGAAGGGAGGAGGAAAAGAGAAAGAAGACAAAAAGAAGGGGAGACGAAAAGAGAAAGAAGACAAAAAGAAGAAAAGGAGACGAAAAGAGAAAGAAGACAAAAAGAAGGGAAGAAGAAAAGGAGACGAAACAAAAAGAGGAGAAAAAAAGAAAAAAAAAGACAAAAAGAAGGGAGGAGGAAAAGAGAAATAAGACAAAAAGAAGGGGAGACGAAAAGAGAAAGAAGACAAAAAGAAGGAAAGAAGAAAAGGAGACGAAAGAAAAAGAGGAGAAAAAAGAAAAAAAGAAGACAAAAAGAAAGGAAGAAGAAAAAAGAAAGAAGACAAAAAGAAGGGGAGAGGAAAAGAGAAAGAGAAACAAAACCCTTGTGGTAATTCATACCTTTTCTAAAGAATTTATAGGAGTTCTATAGCCTTCGATGGCAACTGGTCTACCACAGAAAGAAATGGCAACCTACGGCGGGAAAAAATCTACCTCGTCAGTCATGTATCGAAAGATACATGATCGCCTAAGCGTGTATCCTGCATGTCACAAAACTGAAAAAGAAAAAGAGAAAAAAAGAGAGATGAGGAAAAAGAAGAGAAGAAAGGAGGCAATTAGAAGGAAAGAAGAAAAGTGACGAAACAAGAAATGCAGAAAGGGTTGAAGAAAATGAAAAAAAGATGAATAACCGAAGATGCCAACCAGAAGAAAAGAAAGAAAAAGAAATGGAAACGGTTAGGAAAAAAAGAAGAAGAAGAAGAATTTCAGAAACCAGATATAGAATTCTATAAGCTATATATTCATTCTTCAAGTTGTTTGAGCCGTTAAAATGAACGCGGATTCTCAGATTCTAAGCAATGAACTTTGTCAGAGAACACTCAATGTGATTTAGAGTGTGAACCTTATGGGAAACGTGTCCCTTATACTCGTTAAAAGGGGTTTTTATATTTCACAAATTAAAAAAATCCCCCTCCCACAACAAGCATATATATATATATATATATATATATATATATGTGTGTGTGTGTGTGTGTAGTTAGAATTCGTTTAATAACACCTTCAATCTTGAATATTTCTTGAGTGTTATATCAGAGTATCTATGTCAATGTATGTGGGTATATGTACATATCTTTTTCGGTGTCTGGGTATAGTAAATTGCATGCATATTTCATTATGTATGTGTGTCGTTTCATTTTTTTTTTTTTTGTAAAAGGTTGTGCAAATATTTCCTGTCTTGTCACTTTTTTGAGTGTGTATATATCTAAATATGTCTGAGTGCTTATGTATTATAATCTGATTGTGTTTGTATTATCTTTCGCAAGATGTCATAATCCCATCTATACACTTGTATCTCATTAAGTCGATCTTAACGTTTATTCCAACGTAATTTCAATAGAAACAAAATGAATAGAATAACATTTGTAGTTTTTCTTTTTTCCTCAATAATTTAAAAATTTTAAACTTAATATAGATTAACTTTACATTTTTGAAATGGGTAGTTTTTAATTTTAATTTCAAATTTTATCGTACAATTTAATAATTATTAGTTACAATAAATTCTATTTTAGTATAAACCTAACTTTAAAGCATTTAATAGTTATAATCTTACTTCGTTGTCAAGTTTTTTGAATTCTCGTATACTTGTATTTTGATTGGTCATTTCAGCTCATGTAACAGTGTTAATTAATTTGAAACTTTTAAAACCTTTATTCTACTATTTACATTCAGCATCATCACTTGATAAGACACCAGAGGTGTTGAAACGAAATGGCTATTTTTGTAGTGATTTTATAACATATTTACGTTATAATATTTAAATAAATAATTATACAATAAAATACAAGTGTACAAAGCTGTCGTATTGTCAACTCTTTTGTATGGCCCTGAATCTTGGACACTTTATAGATGGTACACTAATCGATTAGATATCTTCCATAAAGGTTGTCTCTGTACAATCTGTTGCCTAACGTTTGATGATCGAGTATAAAATGCCGACCTTTTTGAGAAATGCAAGATTGGTACCATCGAGACCTTCATAATGCAATCACAAGTACGTTAGGCTGACCATGTGACAAGGATGAGTGATGATCGCATATCAAATGTTCTTTTTTACAGTGAACTCCATAATGGTCACAGAAATGTTGGTAGACCTGAGCTCAGGTATAAAGATAAACTGAAAATCAACCTTTCTGGCGTCAACATTCCGTTCAAGAACTTTGAAGAGGTAGCTATGAAGAGATCAGAGTATTGTTCTAGCTGCCATTCAGGAATAATGTGTTGTTCATCATGACGGTCGTCTTTGAGTATAGAATCCAGAGGTTAGCAGTGAATATTTCGAAGACAGTAGGAAAGCGTTGTTCAGGTTAGCAGTGGATATTTCGATAAAAGTAGCAGAGCATAGTTCGTCCTTCTGGTTCTCTTCGCCTCACAAGCTGGACTGGACATTCGGCTAGAGTAAACAAAATGGCCGCCTTTATACACGACGAATTGAATATTCTACGTCTTCTGATTGGTTAACCTTCTATTGGTTGACTATAAAGTGAGTCAAGGCATTTTGACTAGCTCACTAGTTATATATATATATATATATATATATACACAAAAAACTGCAACAGAGCATACCCAAATTGAAGGAGAAAGTAAGAAAAGAATATTACAGGCAGGTGTTAAATACTGAGTTGAATTCCAAAAACAGAATATCAACCATAATCATTTTGGGTGTCTCTGAGATGCAATGCAATGTCAACATCCTTATTTGGACCATAGCTGACATTAAGCGAATGTATGTCAAAACGAGAAAGCTTCTCACTTACTACCGCATGCATCATCCCACAGCTGATGTTGATCGTCTGTATGTGCCCAGATCCGAAGGAGGTAGAGGATTAGTTCAACTAGAACTGTCCAACATAATGAAAGAATTAAGAAACTTTATTTAGTAATAAATGAAACCAACAAATTCAAAAGTGCGTGAAGAAGTACACATAAACTATAAAACACCTATTACAGCGGTAAAGAACCTAAAAGAAAGCAAATGCATTGTACCAAATGCAGAAACGATGGCAAGATATGCCTCTTTATGGTCAATACCAAAGCAGCGGATGTAGGGAATTTCCAGTATCCATCAGTCGTTACGTAGTGCAGGATTAAAAGCTGAAACCAAAGATTTATTCTTGCTGAAAAAGGGCCAATGCTTGTTAACTAGAAATTGCCGAGCATACATACTAAAAAATTGTGTTGACCCTCAAATTCAGATTCAGATCCAGAAACAATAGACCATCTTGTATCAGGTTGTGCGGTGTTAGGACCCATTGAATATAAACTCAGCTTGATAGAAAGGGCTAATATCTGCACTGGAAAATATGTAACTTTTACGGAAAGGAAACTGCAAGAAAGTGGTATAAGCGTCACCCAGACTATAAAGTGAGTCAAGTCACTTGAGCTAACTCACTAGTTACATATATATACACAAAAAACTGTAACATAATGCACCATCAAGAAGTAAGCATCATTCGACCATGTGAAACATGAAAGAAAAATAAGACAACTAACAATGTTCCTGCTGCACTTAGATACAATACATTCTTGTAGTCTTTTGTGCAATCCTCGAGCCGATCTCAAAAGTCATGCCCACCATAGGCATGCAGATAGTTCGTGTTCGTCGGAACCTTATACATCGAACTCGATGGGAGAGTACATCATATATATATATATATATAATAATGGATTCCCGTCGGTTTCGGCGTATGAGGATGTGACAACTTAATTGAAATAATTGTCTCCAGTTATAAAATTTCGTGCAATAATTTTAAGTAGTACTTAAGGCCCGCTTGTGATTTACAAACGAGGTCGCATATGGAGCAAATATGAGGATTGTGGGATGAGATCACTGTTAGATTGGCTGACCTTTTAGATCTTCCTCTCGCTTCTCGAAGAAGATTCAGACAAGAAGATTGAAAAACCACTAAACACAATGACTTCCATATATATATATATATATATATATATATATATATATATATATATATATATATTTCGTGGACTCTCCCGTCTTATTCAACGTATGAGGGTCAAGCGGCTCAGTTCCTAGGAAGCGACTGCCAGACAGACTTTTTGAACGGCCGAATACAGCCGCAAGGTCCCCAAACGACCCTTGAATTCAGAGTTGTACTTGTCCTAGAACCCAGTCTTTCCTGCTATTTACCCACAGTTGGAGGGAGAAGAAGAGTATTAATAGCATATAAGTGAATGTAATAGATTCGACTGAATTCGAAATCGGCTCTCTGATTCCTCAATCCGAACCACTATCCACTACTCCGAGCCTCTTTATATATATATATATATATATATATATATATATATATATATATATATATATATATATATATATATATATATATATATATATATATATTGTGCATATATATATATATATATATATATATATATATATATATATATATATATATATATATATATTTTATTTATATATTATATGAGCGGCACTTATTAGAAAGCGCTCAATATCAGAGATAGAGTAACATATTTGGTTGGATAGATGTGAGTTTGTGACCCTGGGTTTCACGCTCGCAAAAGCGTGAAACCCAGGGTCACAAACTCACATCTATCCAACCAAATATTATAACTGATATATATAAAGACTGACTCCAATACGCCTGGTGTCTACTCAGTACATCCACACACTGAGATGAATTGTGATAGGAGGTCGGGATTATTGTCGGGTACCGGAGCGTTTCCACCTGGGCCATTGTTAAAATTTACCCAGCCGCCGCGAAAGCGGGCAGGGTATATTACTTTCAGTTTTTATCAACCGCATATCTTTCCGAAGGCAGAGCCCTGACCGAGTCACCCTTTACCCAAAGATAGAGGTCTTGTCGCCCCCTGCCCGAAGACAGAGGTCTTGTCCCCCTCTGCCCGAAGACAGAGGTCTTGTCTGTCGCGAGCCAGGCAGCGAACTACCTGAATCCAATGCGACTCGTATCTACTCAGTCTCCCCACTGTGATGAGTCGTGACACAAGTCGGGATTATTGTGGGGAACACGAGCGTTTCCACTCAGGTCACTAGTTAAAATGTATTCAGCCCCAGCAAGAGCCGAGTCTCTATCCGAAGACAGAACCCCAACTGAGTCACCTTCTGCTCGAAGACAGAGGTCTTGTCAGTCGCAAGCCAGTCAGCGAACTGCCTGACTCCAACCTGTCTGCATTTCTCTGCCGAATTCTTATCCGAAGACGAACCCTGACTGTCATCCTCTACACGAAGACAGAGGTCTTGTCAGTCGCAAGCCAGACAGCGAACTGCCTGACTCCAACCTGTCTGCATTTCTCAGCCGAATTCCTATCCGAAGACGAACCCTGACTGTCACTCTCTACACGAAGACAGAGGTCTTGTCAGTCGCAAGCCAGTCCGAATGCGATTTAAATGGTATTTACCTAACATTACTTACAAGAAGGGATGTGGCACAAATATCTGTTTTTATGTGGGGTGGCTCGGAGCCCGCAGGTCCTAGCAAAATATCCCCTTAGACGGCGTCGGGTTTGTTTATCTCTCCAGACGAGACTCTGCCCATCGGCATAGCCTTGTCTGGGTTGATATCTGCCCGAAGGTAGAGAGTTCGACAAGCCACACCTCCTCACAAGGAGAGATGAGGCACAAGCCTGGTTTTTATGTGGGTTCCGAAAAAAAATACCTTAGACCTCCCTACAAGGCAGGGTGTGACGTGGGGGAGTGAGTTCGACAGCGATATGGCTGGTATTTACTCAACCCTCCCTACAGGGTTATTTGAAATACACAGGGTATTTAGGAGGACCGAATGATTTAATTTCATGAAACTTAGCAATTTTATTTTTTTGTCGGGCGAATGACGCATTATGTTTATTTTATTCGATTTTAATCGAGATTACACTTATTGCAATGGATATTAAACTATGTTCCCCATTTTAAAAGTAGTCATGCTCAGATACACACACACACACACACATATATATATATATATTTAATTAGTTCATATTTAATTAATTCATCGAGTCTGATAGAAACCTCTACAGAATGCAGGAAGCACTGGACGGCCGTTTCATCCTATATTCGGGACTCATCAACAGTGCGCATCCACTACCGAGAATTGAAACCCTGATAGTTAGGTTGTCAAGCGAACATCATACCAACTGTTCCAAATAGGCCTCGGTGACGAAGAGATTCCAAATCAGACTCAACTTAGCGCCGCTCGCTCACATATTCCGTGGCAGAACTCAACTGAGTTCTCTGTGACCATAGGACTGTGCCCCCGGGAGCCACGATTACTCTCACCAAGCCGCTACCAACTGGAGCATTAGAAGCCGGTTCAAGCGAAGATAAACACAGATAGTAATTAGTAGGAGGATTTGATATTTAATTAATTCATCGAGTCTGATAGAAACCTCTACAGAATGCAGGAATATATATATTTCTGTGGCGAAATGTGACTTGGATCCAGGGCATGCAGTCGCGAATATTTTGTCATATACGGCCTACCATATTATTTCGTCCCTTACTCTTTGTCTGTCAACAACTCTCCATCCATTTCCTACTTTAACGAATGCGTAAGAAAATGAAACCCCTCCCCCTATCTCAAAAATGATTTTTCACTGCTCTTTTTTTTTTTTTAAATGGAAATTTTAGTTTGATCTTGTTCAGTATTCATCAAATTAACAGGTTGGTTTTAACGAGACGTAGACATTTTTATTTTAATTTTTACAAAATGTTTAAATAAGTTCCTTATCGCTTGACGACAGGTGTTAAGAAATATGGTAGGTCGTACATGACAAAATATTCGCGACTGCATACCCTGGATCCAATCACCTTTCGCCACTGATATATATTTTTTTTATTAATTTTTTTTCTCCTTTAATATATTTATTACTTGAAATGGTATTTCTAGTGGATATCCGTATTTTAATATACGCCTCGTTTAATTTAAACAGTCTTTATATCGTCTATAGGTCTGCATAACCGAGAAATCATATAGAAGCTTTGACCTCTTGTTTCCTTAAGTGCGCGAGCCGGTAGACGAAATAAATACTGTTTAAAATAAATAGTGTGTCTACCCAAATATTGGTATCCACCAAAAATAACGTTTAAAGTAATAAATATATGACGGATTAAATAATCCATTAACTCTTTGGATATATATATATATATATATATATATATATATATATATATATATATATATATATATATATATGCCGCCATTGAATATTATCCAAATATTAATCTACGCTCAGGCCTTTTCACACTATCACCTTTCCTAACAGAATTACTTTTCTCCCAAGCCAACGCACACAACTGTATCAAGAAATCAAAAGAAAACGGTATAGATAGATAGATAGATAGATAGATAGATAGATAGATAGATAGATATGACTCGATTGCGATAGATATGAACAAACTGAGATAGATACGAAAGAATTGAAATAGATATGAACAGATTGACATAGATAAATAAACAGGAACAGACTGACACATATGCATAGATGTGGATAGTCTTGTGGTTATATATATATATATATATATATATATATATATATATATATATATATATATATATATATATTAATTGATTTAAAATATGTTTTTTCCTCTACACAGTTCTAACCATGTTTCAAAAATGGAAGCTAAAAGCCACGAATTTAATTTTGCAATTAAATTAAAGACATTAGTTCCATTTCATCCTCAAGCGAATTTTGGAGTAACTTTTAAAATTATTATATATCTTACTGTTCTTTCTTTCTTTATATATATATATATATATATATATATATATATATATATATATATATATATATATATAATATAACAGTTCAGATATGTGAATAAAGACAAAAAAAAACTTAGCCAACGTATTTTTAAAGTCGATCAGAGGACGAAACACATGGGCTAGGATCAGTTTCCTTTTTATTCATATTTTTATTCATATATATATATATTCATATATATTTATATATATATATATATATATATATATATATATATATATATATATATATATATATGTGTGTGTGTGTGTGTGTGTGTGTATACAGTGTGGACAAAAACATAGTAATCGACATTTTAACCTTTGAAAAAGCCAGTCACCATGCAGTATTAATTATGTCCAC